AAATGTGTGCGAGGCTCCCACGTATTCTCGCTCGCTTGACACCCCATCCATTTCACCAAGTGCTTCTTCCGACCGCGGACGTTCCTCTCCGCCAACACGTTCTTGACGTGGTAGTATCGATTACCCTGTCGATCTAGAAGAGGGGAAGGTACCTACAAAGTGAACGGCTATCGGCGTATCATGCGCCTCATACACTATGTCTTACTTCAGATTATCGTTGTGGCAAACCACAATCCGTTGCTCATCGTCATGTGCGGTTCATAGTGAAGGAGCCATCCTTCCATGCATAACGATGCATCCATGATTTCAGGTGACCAGGAAGCTTGTCATGGAATTCCATATCATCCGATGACAGTGCTGAAATGGTCAGGTCACATTGTTCATCCTCAACATATCCTATCGAATACATCGATATCGATATAGCTGATATGAGCTAGCGCATAGTCAGGACGACGTGACAATGCGTCTGACAGCACACTCAGTATCCCTGGCTTATACGCAACCGTAAAGCTGTATTCGGCGAAGAATGACAATCAACGAGCCATACGCTATGACAAATGGGGCGACTAAACTTCATAGCTGGAACTTTCGTGAGTCGTGCTGACGATAAACAGAATTGACCCCAAGCGGTGAGCATGAATCTTCACCAGAGCAAACTCATTGCCAAAAGCTCCTTGCCGTGGACATGATAATTTTTTCTGCTGTCGTGATGGAAACGACACGACACGACACGATCGTGTCCTTCTGAGTCCTTTTGTAATAATGCACCACCTAACTACAAACCCAGAAGTGTCACACACCACGCTAAACGCTTACGTATGAACTGGTAAAGCAATTAATGGCGCCTCCATCAAACAGTTATTGGGTGAATAATTCATCACAAGGAGATGATTCCCATGGTACGTCCTTCTTCTGCAAGTCTGATAGTGGGCGTACAATTTCCGCGTAGTTACGTCAAAAACGATGCAGATAATTGGACAACCCATGATTGCTTTCACCTTCTTATGGTCTGTACGAACGCCGTGTTCACCAACATAACAACCGAAGACCGGTACTTCGTTAGCACCCAAAATGAACTTTGCTATACCGCTTGCAATGAATATTCACGCAGATATTCTAGGTGCTCCAAGTGCATTTCTTTGGTAGATCTGCCATCTCGACCCTCGAATGAACGAACATATCGTCAAGATATGTATGTGCAAAGCGTCGCGGTGGTTGAAACATATGTGAGATTAAATAATTGAATGTTGCTGGGGCATTGGATAGCCCTTGCTGCATCACAAGCACCCCGATTACATACCGGACGGTGCACTAAAGCCGTCAAAAGGACACTCTCCTCCCTCATTAAGATTTGGTATAACTATAGACCAAATCAAGCACACTAAACTGTGTACAGCCGGACATACGGTGGATGATGACATCTTTATGTGGAATCGGCGTTTGCGCGGGGATCATCTGCGCATTCAACTTGTGAAAGGCGTGAACGATACGCTATATACCATTTGAAATACGCACACAAATGTTGGTGCGCTGTGAGGAGACTTGCTCTCCCACGCCAAACCGGCAGCTTGCTTTCACGCGATAGTGACCACTGTCTAAGCACCACATGCTTTGAACCAGGTTCACGAATAACTTCGTGTCAAACTTCACATTCGGGCGGAAGTCCAGAGGGCGGGTTCGCACAACCGACGTCATCCTTATCTTCCATAACAAATGAATTATAAAGATCAGCTGGATCCTTCAAAATAGCCGATCTTCTACGTGATTCCACACGCTGTCAAAATATCTCGAGAACCGAATCATCCATTACGGATGACGAGCGTATTTTCGCTGAATCGACCTTCGACCGGAGTAACACACCTCCACACTTGAGGTCATGTGGGAAGTCATCGTAAGTGACTTCCTCGAGCTGCAACAGCTCTTCCATCGTCGGCAACGGCGCCAAAAGAACATATGCTCTTGTAACCTCGTACCCAGTCGTTGCATTCACATTACGTGGATCAGTATACTGCATGCTTTATTTTCATCACGGGGAGTAGCACGCAGGACTAACTTAGCCGGGGACATAATCGCATCCAGAGCAGGGGTATCCGTACCGCAATCAACAACTCCGTTGATTCTTTCACATGTGTGTGCTCAATCACACAACTGGTGGAAGTATCACCTTTGCGGTCAGTTGTACCCACCCGACTCAACCACTATATTAGTGGTTGAGTATATTAGTGGAGTATTGGCATATTCAGCCACAGTAGATTCCTTCGACTTTCCATTACCCACATGTCGACAGCATTTTTATGTCGCGAGGGAGGCAACAACCAGCTCCCCCCCTCACAAATTCTTTCCGCTGGGTAAAACGCCATTCTCACCAACGATTCTATTTGTTTTTGAGTGGCCAGTTCTGGATACCACTTGACCTAGCGACACATTTCCTGAGTGACCGGTCACTCCATACCAACCCGTAACTTCTTTAAGCTGGTATTGTCAATTGCATGACATATTTCAATGAAGTGTGGATCATTTTCAGCAGCATACGACTGCCGAGCGCTTAAGCGCTACTTCTGGTGCATAGTGAATGTGGGTCTTTACTCCCAGGAGTTTAATTAACGCCGAATAGCTATTCTTGACCGATATATCTACGGCTCATGCTTTATAAGCCACGGTATACCTAAAATTAGGTCGTACCGTTTGTTCATCGCGAGAAATGTGAATACTTCCTTCGAGTTGAAGTCTTCGAACTTTAGTTGAAGATCAACCATAACTAAACTCGCGATGACCACCACACCAGTGGCCAACATCACTGAGATAAAGCCATTGCTTCTATCTAGTGCATCCGAAAGCACTGAATTAAACATATATATACTTCGCTATATTGATCTAAATGTTAATGAATTAATATCTCTGAAAAAGATTAAGATATATAATTATAGTAAACACAAACAATACCATTATTTAAAATTATTTTCAGCAACACTCTACTTCGTGCATAGTTACGCGACGCGCCGGAGTCAATCAAGACTCTAAACGGACATCCGTCATTCCTCACTCTCGCTGTGACCACGAGAAGACCACTTCGATTCGTGTTGTCAACGAAAGACAACGATGCTTCGAGGGCTAAAGCCTCATGATGGCTCTACTACCACACCCACAAGATATTATAAGTGCTTCAGTAGACCGCCCTGCATCTACTGGGTTCCGACGTTTCCTGAACGCCTCGTGGTATCGGTACACGAGATTCGGGACCATTACGACGAGAACGTATTGAGTGAGAGCTTCGTCTCCCACGTGAACAATCACGGCGGATGTGACCGAATTGTTGACCTCCATAACAGCGAACTTGCTGCCTACGGATAGTCACCGCGCTAAGATCCATTGTTTCCTAATTTACGGTAGCAGCAATCACTGCTTATATCAAGATGACCGATTGACCACATGCTTGACGCTGGCAGTAGTCCTCACGCAATGCAGTCATAATTGAATCTTCCATATTCGTCGAGATCTGGCGGAAGACTTCAGTCTTAGGAAGACCATGAGTGAGTCCATCCATAATTACTGTGACCATCACTGCCTCTAGCAGTGATTCACTTGCCATAATGGCACGAAGCTCACAAAGCTTCTATACATTGTCGTTAGATATGGCGTTGTCTTGACGGTATGATCAAATCTTCGACCGTTGTCAGAACGCCACACTCGGCGGAAGGAACATCGGCTTCATGGCCTTTTTCAACTCTTGCCATGTGGCAAAGGCAAAGTAGCCAGGTGGCTGACATCCCACATCATCGCCCAATCCTTAGCACGGCCGTCCAAATGCGACGTGACAAAGGCAACTTGACTGCGGTCATCAAGAATTTGAGTTATCGTGATAGCGATGTCCATCTCTCGCTGCCAGACCGCAAGATTTTTTATCTTTGTTCCCGTGAAAACTTCTTACATTGATTTTCACGGGACGTTTTGTGTGTCACCACCACTTGGAGAGGAGGTGACTAGACTGGCGTCGGTATTTTTTGTGATAGAAACCTAATATTCTTGCTCATACGCAGCAAAATTTGCTGAGTGTTTAGTTATCGCCTCTTGATCCAATTAAACCATATCGGAGACCGCGTCCCCGATTAAAGCTCGCAGCTTCGCCACACACTTCCACTGCGAGTGTGCTAGGAGCGAATATTCCTACCTTTTGATCCGAGGACGGCCACGCATGTCGTGTCCACATACTCCATCGATAAATTTATCGAAGTAGTCGGCGTTGGAATATCTACTAGTGCTACCAAGTATAGCGGGAATTGCCTGTTCGTGTTCACACACTTTCTGAGGAAGGCTTATATCAACTGACACGCCTCACCGCGTGTTGCATGCTTCCAGCAGGCCGTTGACTTACGTAGTGAGGAAGAAAGGTGATGTGATATTTATTATTATAGCCAATAGACTTTGAACATTTCTAACCCGAAATGTCCCTCCAGTTCTGATCCACCAGAACTGATACAACTATACAGGGTTTAAAGCTAGTAATCGACACAAAAATTCCAGACAACATGTGTGCTAACACTGCTAACTATATTGCTTGACGTGTGACGTGAACCACATCTCGTCTCGCCAATACTTGAATTTTCACAATAACACAAAAATATAATTTTACAAACTTTCAAAATTGTATGTGTTAGTACATCTGATTCCGACCTGCTCCATCATCACAGTACAATCAAAGGCTAAACAGATTCTCTTCAACCATATTTTTTCTAATCTTTTACCTTTGGCTGTTTTATGAGCAAGTTGATATAATGTGAGGAGGTAATCTAGATTAAAATATTTCGCTAAAATAGTCGCATAAGAGATTTAAAAAGCCGTCTGGAAGGTACCAAGCTGCCGTTTTCCCAATCCGTGTGTTTTTTTCCATTTTGTACTCCACGCTGCCAAAAGTTTCTTCAGGTCATTGCGTCCTTCTTGTTTTGCGCATCGCATCTCCAAGCTCATACATAACAACTAGTAGGCTGCCAATAATCTCCACCATGAGTGTCCAATCGCCTGACCCCCCACTCTCCCCGCTGTCGGATGACGAGTACCATTACAGTGACGTGGAGGAGGAAGAATATCAGTATTCTGAGGATGAGGATGATGATTTGGGTTGCTTGCAGTCCGATGCTCGCCACTCGGGTCTTAAAAAACAGTACACTGCTCATACGCTCTCCCCATTGGGCAGCGGCTCTGCTGCCAAGAAAAAGCGCCTCAGTTCTTGTGGACTCGGTCCTGCTAGTGGCCACAGGCTACAGGACTATCACGTTATTGACGAAGAAGAGTTGCTCCAAGAGCAGCAGTCCCTTATAAGTGAGATAGCACAGGTGCTAGAAATATCAGCTTCTATGGCTTCCGTGCTGTTGCGCTACTTTGGCTGGAACAAAGAGAAGCTATTTGAGGGGTACTATGCAGATCCAGTCAAGACAAAGCACGATGCAGGTGTCGAGTATGCAGGCTCAGCAGCACCCGTTATTCCCAAGGGAGCTAAGGTATTTACATTTATAAATATATATAGAGAAACTCGTTGTTGGGAAGGTAGCTATCTGTATTAACTTTTGACCTCAACAGGTAGATTGCAATATTTGCTGCGATGAGTATCCAGCCAACGAAATATTTGGTATGGGCTGCGGACATCTGTACTGTCTTCACTGCTGGAAACCATATTTGTCGCTTAAGATACAAGAAGGACCGATCTGCGTAACTACTACATGCCCTGCTCATGGCTGCCAAGAGGTGATTGATGGTGCAATTTACAGCTCCTTGTGATAATTTTAACTTGTATTTTATGGTTTAGGTCGTTAGTGACGTGATCTTTAAGAATATTGTTAGCTCGGAGGACTATCGCAAGTATACTCGCTATGTGCTGCGTTCGTTTGTTGACATTAACAAGGGCGTCAAGTGGTGTCCATCTCCAGGCTGTAGCAAAGCCATCACCAGTGCTGGTGGCTTGTCGTCAGTGACGTGCTCATGTGGATGTGTTTTCTGCCTTCGTTGCGGCGAAGAGGCCCATGCACCTGTGACGTGTGAGCAACTTTTAGCATGGCAAGAAAAGTGCCGTAATGAGTCTGAGACGGCCAACTGGATATTGGCTAATACAAAAAAGTGCCCAAAATGCTCTGTACGCATCGAGAAAAACCAGGGCTGCAACCACATGACGTGCCGAAGTTGTAATTACGAATTTTGCTGGATTTGTATGGAAGGATGGGCAAAACATGGAACTGGTACTGGTGGCTACTATAAATGCAATCGGTACGACGCAGACGCACAGACGGATGATACAGATGCAGCACGGGCGAAAGCGGAGCTGGACAGATACCTACATTACTATCAGCGCTTCGCAAACCACTCAGAAGCTGGCAAATTTGCACAGCGAATGCGCGAAGGCACAGAAAATCGCATGATTGAGTTGCAGGCGAGTCACGGCGACTCGTCGTGGATTGACGTGCAATTTTTAAACACAGCGACAGAGCAGTTGATTGAGTGCCGACGAGTGCTCAAGTACACATATGTGTTTGGCTATTACCTGCCAACTGGAAAAGAGAAGAATCTGTTCGAGTATCTTCAAGAAAATCTGGAAAAAAATGCCGAGCATCTTACCGGACTTTCTGAGATGCCTTTGGACAAAATGAATCGATCGGAAATCATCAACTATACACGTGTGACAGAAACATTCCTGCGCAACCTTTTATCTGGTGTTGAGGACGGTCTGACAGCTAATTCAACACTTATGTAGGGAGGCTCTTGCTGTTGCTGTTCGCTATGCTTTACACAACCATGCTCGATTCTTCAAGCACAGATTATTTGCTCCACTTCAAATCTCAATAACGAAATATTACCACGTAGATAAAGACTACGTGTCGATTAATTCGCGTAATGAAATCTAGGACGAAATGAATGGAGTAACCAAATCATTTTGTTTTTTCAATTTATATTTGAAACAGATTGTCGTAGCGAACTGAGCCTCACGAGAGTAGCCGCAACACGAGGTAGTTAGTGCTGTAGACTTAGTAAATTAATCATCATCCCCGCGCAATGTCCGAGCAGCTGAGCGAATCGCTCTGCGCGCCATTGATTCTCTGATACCCATAAAATTCAAATCCTCCATCTCAATACCAGTCTGCCGTACACAGCAATGTTAAAAGTGATACCATTAGGTAAACTCTGTTTTTAAACAAGACGCACCTCGCGAATAAAGTCAAGAGAACTGAAACCCTTCGCTTTAAGCAAAGGTGTGTATCTCTGAAATCCTATCTGCTTCAACCACTGATAAATTTCATCAGCGCGATCTTCCTCTGTCTCTGACAATACAGGTTGCTCATCTGGCTCAGCAGCACTAGTTCGGCGGTTCATTCTGCGTAAGACTTTATTATCCTTTTTCAGTTCCGACCTTCTTTCCTGTGGATTATATAATCCAAAACACTGCTGCTGTGATCTGTCCTGAGCCTTTTTGCGGCTAGTGTAACTTGTGTTACTACTACTTGCACTCGTTCCAGTCGCGCTGTTGTTTGGTAAATCATGCTCCCGTGCGTACAGTTCATTGGCATAATCGATTCCCTGATTTATGAGCTCCATCCATAGGTCAGTGTCACGTTTGGACAATGCTTGAAGCTCGCGTTTGATCTTCCAATTGCTGTCAATTACATTAAACCGCAGTTCTGGCATCTCCGTCGTCTTCCAGATGCGACATCCGCACAAAGAAAGCGACGAAATAAGTGGCAGCGAACAACGCCATTCTGCATGATGTCGTCGATGTAGTCGCCAGTCTGTTGGAACCTCCGTGTAATGGAGCTGACCATGATCTACAATGAACCACTTCTCGACCCATGAGCGTTTCCCGCGTCGGCTACGCTTAAGAATCACTCCTTCGTAATAAGGAGCCGGCGAAGCAGGCTGTCCAAGTACATCACTATTAATGCTATCCTCGTCTAAAAATGAGTCATCATAGATTTGAGAGCGCTCCTCGTCCGAGTCCATTCCCATTGTATTGTGACGGGCACTTGTTTGCAAGGCAACATGATCAAACTTTTCACCATCTTGCTCTTCGTCATTTTCATTTTTAGATTCTTTTTCACTGTAATTGTCTTTCTCATCGTCGTCGTCTTCGTCATCATCGTCATCATCATCATCGTCATCATCATCACTCTCCTCGTCATTTTCACCATAATAGGCGTCATCATCTTCTTCAATCTGCGGCTCGCGTTCTTCACGTGTAAACGTAACAAGCTCCACGGTATCAACCTGCGCGCTAGTAATGTGTTTTAAGATCCTTTCAAGCGTGTGAACAATTATCGTGATGTTTGGGCGCTCAGTAGGCTCAAAGGCCACACATTGCTCTGCAAGCGTGGCAAGAGCCGACGGACACGACGCTGGAAGAGCGTCACGAAACTCCGGTATAAGAATTCTAAACTTATATTGCGGCAAACGCATCAGGAATCCATCGGAATTTGCCACGCGACAGCACAACATTTCCATCAGCACCACGCCAAAACTAAATATGTCAACACTGTGATCGTAATCTTCGTCCAAAAACATTTCTGGTGCCATGTATGCGTCTGTGCCACAATAGGATTTGCGGCGTTGCTTACTTGCAGCCGACTCTGTTGTGTCGTCCATCGTTGCATCGGCGGATTTCATCTCGACTGCAAATCCAAAGTCGCAGAGCTTAGCACGGTGCTGGTCGTCTAGCAAAATGTTGGATGACTTGATGTCTCGATGAACAAAATGCTTATTTTGAAGAAATTCGATGCCCAATGCAGCATCTAACGCGATGCGCACCATTCGATACCAACCAATGTGCTTTGTTTTACCATCTCGAATCGACTTTAAAAGCAAGTCAACGTCACCGTTGTTCAGATACTCGCTGAGAATCCAAACTTGCTTAGTACGAACGTTATCTGCCGCTCCAACAAATTGCAAAAGCCTTGGATGACGAAGTATCCGCAACACTTGGACCTCGCGCAACACAAAGACTGGGATTTTACCTTCAGCAGTTTTAGGTTGACACTTAACTGCAACATGCTGGCCTCGATAGTCCCCAGTATAAACCACGGAAAATGCCCCTTTACCAATCTCACGACCAATCTTGACGGCTAGCGGTTCTACTTCAAAATATGCTTGGGCATCCATAATATCTTGCTCTGAAAATTCTAGGTGCTGCTCATCAAAATGCTCTTGCTCTTGCTGCACGTGCATTGACGCCTTCATTTGCGATGACACAGACGACGGATGTTGCGCCTCCAGCTGCGACGTGAATGCTGCCAGCGGTGTCTTGTGTTGCAGTGGACGTCGCTGATCATACTCTCCAGCAAGAAGCACTTGACGTTGATTGCCTGACATGTTGCTATTCTGCTGCTGCTCGTGGGCTTCAGTTGATAAAAGGGCGCGACGACGGTCGTCCAGTGCGCACCGATCATTCACGCAAAATGTTGCGGCAAGACAACGGGTGAGCATAGTGGTGCTGTTATTGCTGCTGCTTCTCGCCGCTTTTAGCTCCAAATTGACTGCGTAACGGCCCGCTCGATCCGATTGGCGAGTCTTCGGACACTTTTGCTGGTCTCTCTCCTTATGATTTGGGAACGGCCAAATTTATTAAGCGTGAGCTGTAATATTATTATTAGCTCTGAGGAAAAATGTATTGCTTCAATACTAATATATTCGACTTTCGATTAATATGTGTAGGAAGTAACACATACCCACTCGGAAGTTTGCTAGGTGCACGTTTATCTTTCACAATTTATTCTTGTACCTAAAACGATTTTGAAGTTTATATACACAATACAGCGAACACCTTACAAAATATATACCTCAATGTATTTTTTACACTTCTTCTGTACCTTGATGTATTTTTTAATGTAATTTTTAGTACAAGTAAAATGTCGTAGTGTAAAAAATACATTTTTGAGTAATCGTGCAAAGCACCCATGTCTTGGTAATAGTGATGACGACAGACTTCGTAAAAGAGAGGTATGTGGACGCATGGCGTCAGCCTGACGTCAAGCAATAAAGATATTTTTACTATTAATATATATATGTATCAGTAATATCTCACGCTAAGTATATGCCACTCACAAAGCCGAAATTATACAAAGAAAGTACTTAGTGTGCTTTGGCATCTCTCGGTTTCGCTCCTGAGCGTACGAACCCAACCTCTGTAGGCTGCATACGCCGACTCTAAAAGAAATTCCGTTGCGCTTGGTAGCGCTTGTAGACAATCCGACAACGAAGCAGTTAAAAAACTATACTTTTAGTTAGGATGGAGCCCAGTTGTTCGATTCCTGCTCTGGGACAACCACACACGCTCGATGAAATTATGCCTATTTGATGTCCCGAAGAATTAGAGAGCTAGCGGTTCAATGGCCACAAGTAGTAATCACTCACCAGGAGGCACTCACGAAATATGACAACACCGTGGATAGACGTTTCTCGGAACGCTCTACTGGGTGTTGGTGAGAGCACACATGGCATCCCCCGTACTCCAGCTTTTTGAGGGAAGGAACGAAAGTAATCTCACTCTCCGTATGAGGAAAGATGGAATGGCCACATATTCGGTCAGGCCCCAGACAGAATAACAACGCGTTGCGCTTGCGGTCTCCCAGCTTGGAGGCTGTGCGCAAGAATAAGCTCAAGCGTGTATTACATCTGGAGAAGAAATAAGGGTTTCAGCATGAGAAGATTCGATGCAAAAGATGTTGCAGATTTATGCACTCTCAGTCAAGCGTGTTGGGTGCGATCGAAAGTCCTGGCCAACTGTCAAGATAGTTGGGAGTTGGCGGATTATGCCCGGGAGTCAAGAGCTATTATCGCCGCAATGGGAACAGACACCCGGAGGCGTTAGCGTCGCCACCTTTAAATAGGTTTCCAAACGTCTGAAGCTTGCATCGAGACCTAATGCCCCCGACTAATGAAGAGCAAGCTAGACGTGGTACAAGCAGTCAAGCTTGGTCAGCTATAAAGCTTTGTGCGCGTGGAAAATAAGCGCAGGTTGTATTAATGGAAGCATCCCTAAATCAAGCCAAACAAGTACTTGAGGTGATACACAGTGCTGTGTGTGGTCTGATGCAGACACTGACAAGCAGTGGAAAGTGTTTATTGACAAATGTCGCATCACTGTGTCGTATATCCGCTAAGGAAATGGTCAGAGGCGGCCAATAAGTTTGCTGGTTATGTCGCGATGGTTGAAAAGCAGACCAACAAGCGAGTCAAAATGATTTGGTGTGATAATGGTGGAGAACACACTCCTGGTGTAATCGTAAAGGGGTAACACGTACCCCTGGTATATAGGGATGAGTCACACAAGATGGTCTGACCGCACAAAGGTGTGGATTATACAAGTCGGTGTAGTCACACAATGGCGTGGCTATACTGCAAAAAAAATCCACTACGTGACGGGACTGGCAGTAGTTATGCATATTGGTTAGGTTTTATTATTTAATAAGGAAACCTAGAGATTAAGATGAAATAGGCCGCGAATAAAACAGATAAATACAGTTTCAGTTTTGAACGGAAGGATGTAAATGCGTTGGAGGTAGCAGATCGCGATCCTCTACACTCGTACTCGTTCTGGTTTAGAACGAATGTCGGTGACCTTAAGTAAGCTTCCTTTAAGCAAAGAGCTAAGGCAGTCCCGCTGCACTTGGGAGCACTCGTAGTCAACCTACGCAAAAGTTGTTACGACTGATCCTCTGTGAGGATGGAGCAATTCTCCTATTTCCCCAAGGCCTGTAGGATGGGCTTAGTAAGCTGATGTTCGTTTTGACCTTGAGGGCGTGAAACACCATGCTTTGCAAGGACCCGAAGCAATAAGCGCGCGCCTAGAGGCGTTTTCAAGCAATAAAATGCTCTGCTAGAGCATCTAGAGAAGAAGATGTCGGCATCGACTGCGCATATGACGCCACCGTCGACGACGAATGACTCCTCCCGACCCAGGCACCTCATGGTGAGCATTAAGGCCTTCGAGGGTAAGGATAGACAAAATCTCATGCTCTGCGCGAGATAGGCCTTGATGGCTATGGCATCCGCCATGTTCCAGAACGAGCAACAGCGCGTGGTGCTAGCTATCCTTAAGCTCAGGGTCAAGCGCGAGAATGGGCACTGACGTGCGGTATTTCGGTTGAAGCGGCGTTCCCCTCCTGGAAGGGGCTGAAGCTGCAGCTTTTGCGAGTGATTTTGTCGACCAAACTTGCCGCCCGAGAGGGCAAGAAGATAATCTGTGGACTTTGTCCAAGATTTGCGAGCTCTCATTGCCGGGATGGCAGCCGATCCTCTCCTTGAGACGGTCACAGTGACCGTCTTCATGATGAGCCTCCACACTGGCATAGCCAGAATGGTAGACTTCCGTGTGCATCCGTCTTCTTTTGAAGAGACGGTGAATGTGGCATTGAATGCCGAATCAAACTTTAAGTCGGCACGACTTGGTTGGAATGCACACCCTCAGCTCGACGAACAGGCCCTATCCAATAGATCTCAGCTATGCTGTGAAAGAGGAGGAAGAGTTCCGAGCTGCCGTGCAGCGTTTGAACACCCGACGGCGTTTTGTCTGTGGATACACCCGTCACCTTTGGACGGTTTGACCCCTGCGCAAGGCACGTCAAGGCTCAGCGAAACAATACATTTGTTGTGTTTCCAGACGTGCTACAGCGTTCCTGATTGAACCAGACGCATTCGTTCGACGGGGCACAACGGGTAAACGTAATCAAATGTTCGTCACGCTGTCAGCAGCTGAGATATTATGTCACATACGTTCGTGGTGCTTCCAGACGTGCTACAGCTTTCCTAATTGAACCAGACGCATTTATTTGACGCGGCAGCAACAGTAAACGTACTCAAATGTTCGTCACGCTGTCAGCAACGAAGATATCATGTCACATACGTTTGTGGTGCTTCCAGACGTGCTACAGCGTTACTGATT